AGACCTTGGGAACTCACTGTGGGTTGCCTAGACCTAAGCCAGGGCCCCTATCTCCAGCAATGGCAAACATCAGGTACCCTGAATCCAGTCTGCCTGGTGCCTCAATAGCCTATGATTACCCCCTTGACAAAACTGCTTTCCTACAGTTGCCTATGAGAGGGAGACCCCGTGAGGAGGAGGTCCCTCCCCTGGGACCAACTGCACCCTGGCCCCAGCAAACCTCCCTGTGGAATCATGGGAGATTCAGGGGCTCCCACTGAGTTTCCCGTGTCTGTTCACATGTTTAGGATTTCTAATCAGTCTTTTTTTGTTGTTCTCTAAATGATCTTTTTAAAAAAACACACTTCCATTCGAGTATGCAATGTCTGTTATTTCTCTGGGGATATTAATGATCTTTTAAAAATCTTTTTTATCTTTTCTGCTGCCTCAGTTCCTTTGGTCTCTAGATTCCTTATTAGAGGTCTTTCTAGGAAGTCTGGTAATCTTTGGTTGTCTGCTCATAATTACGTATAGTGGTGAACGGGGAGGAACGCGAGCGCTCATTGGAGGGAGTAGTGACTGGGGCACTTTGACTTTGAGCCTCACTGTAGGGTGATCTTGGTGGACCTTCTGTTGGGGATCCTCTGGGTCAATGTCTTTATTTAGGTTTTTCCTGTTGGATGGTCAAATGCCCAGAGAGTTGTCTTCTGATCTCCTGCCTGGAGAGCAAAGACCGGTGCCAGTCCCGTGGGAGCTGGGTTGGGAAGGAGAACTGGAGGGTAGGTAGGCCAAGACTGAATCCCTGCCTGAAGACTCTCCTCTCTGCTTTAACTTCTGCGGAGAATAAGCTCCAGCCCCTGCCCTGAGGGAGAAGGACAGGTGTCCAGCACTGCGGATTTGGGGAGGGGCCTGGAGGACGGGCAGCTTCCCAGGTCTCCCTGTCTCCGCCAGCCCCCTTCCCCCCAGCTCCTCCCAGGGCACTGTGGCAGTTAGCGCCTGGGCGCACCGAGAACTCTGCAGTGGAATTGGATCCTGGCTGAATTTCTCTCCCTCTGGTTTTAGGATTTCGCTCCCTTGGGGCTGCCCATGTCCAGTTACCACTTGTCCATTTCCAGCCCCCCCCCTCCCGCCAATATGTCACTGTAAGCTCCTGTCTTCTCTCCTCTGACCTTGTATGTTTATGTCCTAAAAAAAAAAAAAAAAATCTTTTCATTAGTTGTAGTGAACTTTGGAAGGGAGCAAGCCTAGATGCGCATGTTCAGTCTGCCATGGCAAGTCATCATAGCCTCGCTACATGCTCCAACTAGTCTACCGAGTGACCAGCAACTCGCAGAGGCTCGGTCCTGCTGACTTCTCTCTGCCGCAAAGCAGTTCAAATTGCTGCAGCTGGGAGGCGGAGACAGGTTCCCTCGGGACAGACCCCCAGAGCCCCAACCTCTCGGGGTCTCTCAGAGCCCCCACACCTGCAGCCCCTTCACAGGGAGCTCGGAGGGAGGGAGGCCCAGTACCCACTGGGCAAGTGGGTACTACTCGGGTGAGAAGGCATGGTGTCCAGCCAGGCGTGTCCAAGGACAACCCAACCCACTGGCCTGGGTGGATAGCACCCTTTGCAACCACGTGGCTAGGTGCTGTGGAGAGCAGGGAGGATGGACCACACACTGGAAAGACGATGACATTATTCCTTCTGGGCTTCATTCAAATACTGCCTTCTGAAGCCAGATCATTTTGGGGACTTAGGACCCTTCTTTTCAGAACTGGGCCTGCTTCTTTGTCAGGTTAACTCCTCCCTGGTGATGATGTCCTCCCATATGTTGGCAGAGTCTTCTGGTGCCTGAAAAAAAAAGGCTGTCTTAGTCAGTTTGGTACTTTGCTATAACAAAGTACCACAGACTGGGTGGCTTATAAACAACAGAAATTTATTTCTCTCAGTCCTGGAGGCTGGAAGTCTGAAATCAGTGTGCCAGCACGGTCAAGTTCTGGTGGGGACCTTCTTCTGGATTGTAGAAAGGCCAACTTCTCGTGTGTCCTCACAGGACAGAGAGCAGAGGGGAAGCAAGCTCTCTTAGGACCCTTCCTCTTTTTTTTTTCTTATGACTCTTCTTTTTTAATTTAAATTTTGTTAGTTAACATATAATGCAATATTGATTTCTGGAGTAGAACTCAGTGATTCATCCCTACATACAAAACCCAGTGCTCATCACAACAAGTGCCCTCCTTAATACCCATCACCCATCTAGCCCATCCCCCACCCGCCTCCTTCCATCAACCCTCAGTTTGTTCTCTGTTGTTAAGAATCACTTACGGCTTGTTTCCCTCTCTCCTTTTTTTCTTTTCCCCCTTCCCTTATGTTCATCTCTTTTCTTTCTTAAATTCCACATATGAGTGAGATCATACAGTATTTGTCTTTCTCTGACTTATTTCACTTAGCATAATACACTCTAGTTCCATCCATGTCATTGCGAATGGCAAGATTTCATTCTTTTTGATGGCTGAATAATATTCCATTGTATGTGTATACCACATCTTCTTTATCCATTCATCAGTTGGTGGACATTTGGGCTCTTTCCATAGTTTGGCTATTGTTTTTTTTATTTTTATTTTTATCTAAGACCTTGCCGTTTGTTGACTTTTTTTGAAAAAAATCAAGTTGTAAACTTTTATTACAAATTAAAAATGAGGTTCTTAAAAATCTCAACTTGACCAGGTATGAAACAATTTAAAAACCTTTAAAGGTGTATTGAGAAAAACCAGGCTTTAAAAACAAAGCAAAACAAAACAAAACACATTTGTCATTACCAAACAGAGACGTCTGTAAATAATAATAAAAAATAATAAAAATCTAATATTTTCTATATATATTCTAATAAAAATCCCATGCTGCATAGATATTGCAGATAGTTCTATTTATCTGGTCAATGGCCGAAAAGCAAGCACTTAAGGTCTTCCGCTCCAATCTTTTGTTCATTTCTTATTGCTGGAATTTCATCTTCATTTCTTCGCGGTGGATGACTAAGCCGGATGCTGGTAGAGTTGGTAAGCTGGCATTTGCTCAGCCCCGCTCTGCTCAGCCTCCGGAGCGGGACGAATTCTCAGCTGGTGGATTGGCTGTTGTTGTCTCTTTGCCATCTCGTGGCTTAGGGTTTTCTGGGCGTCTGTGTCGGTAATTGAAGTTGCGGTGGTACCGACGTTGAGGTGGTTGCTGACCTTGGGTCTCATCTCCTTGATTTTCCTTATCTTCCTCATTGCCATCCTTTCTAGGCTCTCGTTGGCGAGGAGGACCCCTGCGGAATCGTGGTCTATAGCCCCGGCACATATTCTGTCTCAGTGGTCTACCTTGTTCTCCTGCACCCTGGTTGTCATCACCTTCCATCCCTTCTCCCTGCACAGGAGGGTTGGAATACTGTGGTCGCCACCCAGAGGGTCTCCGCATGTAGTGGGAACCGGTGCCACTGGGCCTGGCCTTCAGGAGCACTTTCCGACCCCTCGTCCTTTCTCTCACTATTCAGGTAATTCTGCTGGGAATTGTATGGAGGACGCCTGCACTGGGGGGCGTGTCTATAATGGTTAGGGTCTGCTGCTTATTTACTGCTTTGCTCTGGAACTCCACCAGGGCCTGTCACATCTGCTGCCTCCGCACCCTTTTCTCCTTCAACAACACCAAACTCCACAGTCTCTCCCTCTCCTACACTGTGAAGGTACTTCCTGGGGTTGTTCTTCTTCACGGCGGTCTGGTGTACAAATACTTCTTCCTAGGTGTCACTCCTGTTGATGAAACCATATCCGTTTCTTACATTGAACCATTTTACTGTTCCCCAAACCTTCATTGCAATGACCTTCTTGTCCGCACCGGCAGGTGCCTTCGATGTGAGGCTTCCCGGGGTGTGATGGTAACTAGGCGGTGGGGCTGCTCAGGGCTCTGTGGGGTCTGCTCTCCGCTCCCGCTACCGATCGAACTCCATAGTTTGGCTATTGTTGATAATGCTGCTATAAACATCGGAGTGCATGCACCCCTTCAAATCTGTATTTTTGTATCCTTTGGGTAAATACCTAGTAGTGCTGGTAATTAATTCCATGTTCCACTTTTTAAGAAACCACCATGCTGTTTTCCTGAGCCTTACTTTGAAATCCACTAAATGTGCCCTCCACCGTGAGGCTTCAGTCCCCAGCTCTTTGCCCATCTCCTAGTTCAAGATCAGCCAGGCCCTCCTCTGTGTTCAGAGGCACATGTGCATGACAAACACAACCCTCGTCAGGCTGTCTTCTAGTCATCTGTTTGCTGGTGTCTAGGCTGTAAGTGCCCTGAGGACAGGGACGGGGACATCCCCGGTCTCACATCCCCAGAGCATCGTGTGCGCTCTTGACTCAGGGCGAGCCAATCATGACATGAATCCGTGTTTGTTTGACTGACGGGGTCACCAGCTGCTCACCCACCCACTGGCCAGTTGTCTGTTAACTGACGGAACAACGTAGCACTCTCCCTCTTCTCTCTGCCAAATCACATCCTTTCATTCTGGGCTGGAAAAGAAATAGTCGTTACTTCTCAGCCCGTGAGGTGATTTAAGTGTGGGCTCAGGGATCGGAGGCTTACTAGTTAGGTTGCTACGGAAAATTTTTTGAAGCTCTCTGAGCCTCAGTTCCCTCATCGGTATAATGGGGGTAATACCGGGACCTACCGCAAGTGGCCGCTGTGCAGATTGAATAGACAACGTTTAGCGCAGTGCCGGCCCCCCCC